GAAGAAGAAGAAGAACAACAACAACAACAACACCATCACTAACAATAACGCTGACCCCACAGATGATGAAAGAGGCAAGATTTAGGGGGAATACAGAGCTCATTCAGAAGATGACAAACCTGGTGTCATCGCACCAGAGGCGAAGGACACAGTGGAATCTGTTTTCCATTTGAAAGCCTACCACACACGTGGCTAATGTTTAGCTGTCCAGCTTATCTCCCCTAGGACATCCCACTGTACTATTTACTACTCCCGGATTCTGCCTTGAGCGGCCTCTACAACTTCCTTCTTTTTTTTTTTTTTTTTAAGATTTTATTTATTTATTTGACAGAGAGACACAGCGAGAGAGGGAACACAAGCAGGGTGAGTGGGAGAGGGAGAAGCAGGCTTCCCGCCGAGCAGGAAGCCCGACGCGGGGCTCGATCCCAGGACCCTAGGATCATGACCTGAGCCGAAGGCAGACGCCCAACGACCGAGCCACCCAGGCGCCCCTACAACTTCCTTCAAACCGGAGGTCACCCCCACATCTCCACCTGCTGTGGTCCCACCCGTCTCTGAAGGTCCAGCTCACAGTTGACTTCCTCCACGACTCCACCGAGTGAATTTCCGATAACAATAGTTGATTGGTTCTGACTTAATTCATTCTACGAACAAGTAAAGTGAGCCTGGGGGGTGGGGGGGATAGGTTTGACTCACCCTTGGTCACACATTCCCAAGGTCAGCCAGTTCCAGAGAAGAGAACTCGAGTTCTTATCCTCAGTTGTCCACCCCCCTTCTCCTTCCTCATCTTTGCCTCCAGCCCCGTCTGTCCCGACTCCCCACCCACCTCGCCTGCTGACTTCTCCCTTCTTTCTCCACAGAGATCAATGGGACCCAGATTTGCCCCAACAATCTAGTTGCCTTCCATGACTTCTCCTCAGATCTGGAGAACGTGCCACACCTTCGCTACCTGCGGCTGGATGGGAACCACCTGAAGCCACCCATCCCAGCGGACCTCATGATGTGCTTCCGTCTGCTGCAGTCCGTGGTCATTTAGGCCTTACTCTGCCCCCCGAATCTCCTCTGACCACACTTAAATGCCGATGGTCCGGGTGCCCGTGCCCACCATTCGTGTCCTCTATCTTCCTTTCTCCCTCCCAGCTTTGCCTTTCCTATCCCACCTTCCCAAGGCAGGGACTAGCCACATACTCTGCCGCACCCGGGGCTTCTAGAGCAAGACTTCTAAGGGCTTGATTTGGTTCACCCAGCTCAAAGAGACTCACTGCACACCCACGCTTCTGGTCCCAGAAGCACAGAGGTGTGTCTAAAGACATACTCTTCTCTCCTCCTCCTCTACCCTGTCACTCCTGGGTAAGTTGGGGCCATGGGCTGACATCTGGAACTTGGTCCTGGCCGAAGCAAGCAGAAGGCGGTCAGGAGCAGCCCAGAGGTGAGGTTTGGAAAGTCCTGCTGGAGACTCCACCATCATGGGCAGGTCTGGCCCCAACAGGCCCCTTAGCCACGGATCCTGCCTTCCAAAACTGCTGCTCCACCGCTCTGTTCGTTGGCACCAGACATTGTGCTGGCTCTTACCCAGCCCGCGTTCTCCAGCAAGGAAGTGCAAGGGAATGGCTGAAGGAGGGTGAAGGATCAGGGTTCCCGCAGGGGCCTGCATCTGGCAGTCTCTTCACAGGGCTAGCCGGGGCCCTCCTCTGCACACACCCTTCTGGCCGGGCCTCTCTATCTCAAGAGTAAGAGCAGGGAGGAATAGTCAAGGAGAAGAATAGTTTGGGGAACCAGGAATCAGCCAGCGGGAGAGGGGTGGGAATCAGAGCCCCCCAGGGTTGGGCCCCTGTTCGTACAGATGGATCCCGCAGCCCCCTTGCCAGTCTGGACAAGAGGCCTGATGCCCTGGGCCACACGGTGTCCACAGTGAAGGGTACAGAGCCACCAGCCCCGCCCCACCATCTGTTCCCTATCAGTGTGGCTGGCCCAATCCTGTCCAAAGCCCGGAAGCAGTTCATGAGAAAGTGCTCTGGAAGGGGCGGAGCCCCGGGAAATCTCCCAAAAGCCTGTTCCACAAGCACAGATAGGCTTCCCCTCTAAGGCAGACACATCAGTGACACCTGGTGGCTGGTGCAGGTCACAGCGGGCTCCTGTCTTCCTCCTTGCCCCTCTTTGGGATGGTTTTACAAGGCCAAGGAGCTGGCCTCAGGCTCCAACTTGAAGAGGCCTGGGCGATGTGCACAGTCGTCCCTCTGGGATGTAAAGGACACAAAGGTACAGAGGCCTCGAGGCGGGGGTTGATCCCCATCATGAGTGAGCACAAGTGGGAACCCTCAGGAACCCAGGTGAGGAGGTGGTTTGTTCCTGTTTGCTGTCTGACCTCGTGGGTCCCTTCTGCCCTCAGCCCCCACGTCTGGAAACCAAGGGGGCGGCTAAGACGCCCCGCCCAGTTCTCTCCAGCATCCACGGTCTAGTCTGCAGCTCTGCTCTTTAAACCGTGCTCTGATTATCTATTATCCCTGCCCCTTGCAGTAATTTATTCCCTGTATGGACTGTCCCTCCCCTTGAAATCCCCTCCCCTCCTTGCATGGGCCAGGTGAGTGGCTTGGCTGGCCTCCAAGCAGAGCCTGGGCCCCACAGGGCTCACTCACCTTCCCCTTCTCCTTCACTCCTCCAGGAGATGCTGCCCCTCTATAGCTCCTTAGTGTATATGTTGGGGGCGGGGGGGTGGGGGTGGTTGTTATAGAAGTAAGTAGGACACATGCCCAGCCTCATTAGGCTAAGAAAAGTTCCAGAGATTTTTAAGAAATTGGATTAAGCTAGGTCCCTAACTTCAAGAAATTCCCATTATAGTCTGTCTCATCTTCCTCTTTTGCTCATTTACGGAAAATAGGGCCCATTTCCTGTCAGCCTCCTTCCCTCGTGCTCCCATATAATGCCCCATCCTTCCTAGCTGCTGCTGGTTTCTCCAAGGCTCCTGCTTAAAGTCAATGTCTTATCGTGGCTATAAGCAACCTGGTGCTAAGGCCTGGATAAGCCCCGCTTCTGCACCGTCCTCACACCTTGCAACCTCTGCCCCTCAGGGGAGCACAGCACCTGGGGTACCCCTGGGGGCAGGGGGCATTTCTGCTCCCCAAACCTAAGCTGTTTTGTTTCAGCAGCAAAACAATCACCCTCATCCCATCCCCCCTGTCTAGATGAAGTCTGCTTCCTCCATTGCTCCCTACAGCTATAAGCCAGAGGGGATTCAGGTGAAATTGCCTTTAAACAACACCCCCCCCCCCCCACCCCACCCCACCCCACCCCCACACACGCATACAATGTGCTGACTTCCCGGGGATTTCAGGAAGCCCCTCCTCCATCCGCAAGTTCATTCTTTCAGTGCCCCTGGCACCTACGTAGACAGGTGTGTGAGTAGATGTGTAGGTTACTCTACATATATCTGTTCCTTCTTCAAAACCATGTTAACTTTGTGAAACAATTTTTACACTCCAACACGCTTCACAGCAGAGGAAATAAAGGAATATGAAAAATATCCTGCTTGAACTTGACAGAGTGAACAAGTCAAGAATACCTTGAAGTTCTCTTGCCACCCTTCTCCCCCCACCTCCCATCTCTTACCTGGCTCCAAGGAGATGGGTGGAGAAAGGACCCCATTTCTAAGAAACTCTTTTTTTAAAAAGATTTTATTTATTTATTTGACAGAGAGAGAGAGACAGCGAGAGAGGGAACACAAGCAGGGGGAGTGGGAGAGGGAGAAGCAGGCTTCCCGCCGAGTAGGGAGCCCAATGTGGGGCTCAATCCCAGGACCCTGGGATCATGACCTGAGCCGAAGGCAGACGCGTAACAACTGAGCCACCCAGGCGCCCCTCATTCCTAAGAAACTCTTAAGAAAACAATTCCAAAACCTTTTCTTGGCAAATTTCCCCCAAACTTCACAACTGTCATGAAAAATTATTCCAGAAGTCAGATCAGAAATCCAATTGCTACCTTTGAAGCCCAGAGGCTCAGATTCTTTCAAACCACAGATATCAAACTGTTGAGCGTCTCCCAAATGCTCAGTCCAGAGCCAGATGCTGAAAGACACAAAACAGTCACCATTTCCCACCAAGGGCAATTTACAGGCTAGTTGCAGAGCTGCGGCGTAAGGAAGACAAACTAGCCGCAGAGCTGTATCGGGGGTGAAGACCGAAGGTTCTCCAGGCCATGCCGAAGGGCGTGAACCGGGTGCCTGGAAGTCTGTCTTCAGGCAGACGGTTGACTCAGAAGTGAGTTTGTGATCCCCCCTGCCCCCCACCCCATTTTCTTTAGCATGAAAACTGCCAGATGCTGCCCCACCCCTCCCAATCTGCCTCCTTAACACCTGCTTAGTTCAACTCAGCAGGCTTTCAGTGGACCTCGCCTGCGTGGTCCAAGAATTCAAGGATAGGTAATATCCGGGTCCTTGCCCGTGAGGAATTCTTAGCTTGGGAAAGGGGAAAGTCCATGGAGTAATCCCATGTCCTAAGTGTTTGTAGTGATGCAGCGTACAAAGAGCATGGTGGAGAGGGCCTCTACCCCCGTGGAGGGACACCAGAATGGCTCCTGTCATTTGAGCTGGATCTTCAGGGATGAATCAGATTTTGCCTGGTGGGGGAATTGGGGTCGGGGGGGGTGGGGACGGACATAACCAGGAGAGGAAACAGCATGAGCCAAAAGGTAGGAAGGCATGGAGTAGTGCCTGAGGAAGGGAGAGGAATGGGTTTAGGTCACAGAGTTATGTTGCTACAGGCCCTCAGCAGGGAATATATCCCTGTTGTCCAAAAAGCAGGAGGGTTCCTGAAATTTCCATGCCCGCCCATGAAAGGGGCAGCAACAGGGTCAGCTGGCCAGACTCCTGTCCCCACAGCCTGCCACCTCCTTTCCATCAGCATGCTTTGTGCTTCTCCTAATGAGACACGGGGATTAGAAGGGTCCCGCACCTCCGGCCCCTTCGTGCAGGCCCCCAGGGAGCAGAGCCACATGCCACAACAGCATGAAGGTTAGCGCGTTCCCACGCAGGTCACACACGCATGCCATGGACAGTCCTGAACTCCACGGGAACTAGAGCGTGTGACCGGCGAGCTTGTAGAAGCGAGAGTAGAAGCTGGGAGAGGGTCTGAGATGAGACTACTGCGCCGAAGGGGCTCTTTCCTGGGGTGCGGGGTGGGGAGTGGGAAGGGCTGCCTGCGCATGCGCCCTAGGAGACTGGCTGTGCTTGCGGGGCCGAAGAGCTTAAAAAGCGCGTGGGGGACGACCAATTGCGGGTGCGTGTCTCCGAGAAAGTGGGGGGGAGAGTGGGGGCAGGCAGCAGGGGGAATGAATGAACAGTCTCATTTGCTTTCCTCGCAGGGAATAAAGGGCGTGGGATGGGACGGGGAGGGGGAGCGGAGCCCAGGCTGCCTGGGGGAGGGTTAGTCTCTGCCTGCAAAGCCCAGGCTGTGCAGAGAGAGTCGGGGAGGACAGCGCGCCAAATGTACCATCTGCTTCCTGGGCACCCTGCTGGCTCCTGGGCTACCTCCCCCTCCACCCAGCAGAGCCCCTGTTGGTGCCTCTCCCCAGATGGTGAGCTGCCAGGGGCACGGAAACAGGTGTCCCTTTGGTGACCAGGTCCTTGGGCTGGGGGATGCCGCCTCCTCACCGGCTGGCGCCCAGGAACACCGCAGGCCAAGCACTGCACCTTGGGCCAGGCTGTGCGATCTGCCCCTTCACCTGGCATGCCAGGGCAGAGATGAGTCCTGCCAAGGCCATCTGTTCCGAGGGCATCGAGGCACATGGTCTCGGAACTGGGGTGTGCAGGGTAGGGGGGATAAGGTGAAAAGGGGCAAGGTCATATGAACAAAGGACAACTCTCTGGCCTGGGCGTCAGGAAATCTAGGCCCTGACCCTGGCTCTGTGTGACCTTGGGTAAGTCACTGCACCTAGCTGGACCTCAGTCTCTTGTCTGTTGGATAAGCCAACTTCAGTCCAAGTCTGTTGGACTAGATGATCTTCCGGGAGCTTCACAGCCAGGATTCAGGGTCTGGTCGGGGGAGGGAGGAGGGAGGAGGGAACAAGGGGCAGCATTGAAGAACTCCCCTCAAACACTTAGCCGTGCCCCCCCGCCCCCCCACTCCTGCCTTCACACTGCAGCACGAGGCACCAAGCAAACGAGAATCCTCCTGATACAGACATCTTTGGTGGGGGATGAGGGGAGATGATTCTTCTCAGCCCCCTGAGGACCCCACACAGTGGCTTCTGGTGTTCATGATTGGGGCCCAATCTCAGCAGATGGAGAAAAGTTCTTGTATCCTCCTTGCCATCATCATCATCATCATCCTGGAACTTGAAATTGGTCTTCAAATCCTACCTCATCCCCCATTCACCTTCTCTTGGACCAGAGCCTCCCTCTGGTGATTTTGGTTCAGTCATGGTCCCGTGTTGGGGCTCCAGGTGGTGGGTGGCGGTGTGGTCAGAGTGCCTTAATTCAGCCTCTTTGAATCTTTGGATTCCATCTGAAAAAAGCTAGAGAGGCAGGCCCCATCCCTCTGAGTGCTCCATCACCTGCTGCCCGCTCCCTTAGAGAGAAGAAACTGCCAACCCTCTCAACAGTGGCTCGGAAAAGAGAAAAGCAGCAGACAGAGAAAGAGAAGGAGGGGTGAGGGTGGGAGGTGGGGAGGGGTGCATATGAGGGTGGGAGTGGAGGGGGTAGAGGGAGAGAGAGAGAACGCCCTCTCACCAAACAAAAGACTGGGATGGGGTTCCCGCTGAGCGGAGAGGAGGGGAAACAGCTGGACACCAGGAAGAAGAGAAGCCTGATTGGCCACATGCTGGCCTCAGCCAGCTCCCTGCCTGTACCCTGGCCCACGCAGACGGCCTTTCCACCAGTGTCCCCACTTCTCTGGAAGCTGCGAGGCTTGGTTCTGAAACAAGAGTGCACCTGTGGGTAAGGTTCAAGGTTTGGGGCCCTTGGGCCCCTTTGGGATGCAAATGAGGGGCCTGGGTGCAGGCGGGCAGGATTGGGGGGAGTGGAAGGAGTTTAGGGCTCTAAGCAAGGGAAGTTGGAGGGTGGGGATGGGGGAAGGCTCTGATGAAGAGCTCACTCTTGCTACCGCAGAGGGCTTACCCCTAGCCCAGCTAAGGTTAACAGAGGGGGAGAATCTGCTAGACACTTAGGCAGCTGGCTTTGGGGAGGGCTGCGCTATCACAAACACACCAGCTCCCTCACACGCACGCCACATACATTCCCTCCCCGCTCTGTGCATATGAGCATAAACGGACACACGCTCATCACGCGCTCACGTGCTCATCGTGCACGTACACAATTACCTGTGCACACACGCAGACACCCAGGGAACGCTCTAGATGTGCACACACTCCCACGGTCACATACAAAGAACACGTTTGTTGCTGTAATCATTTGTTTCTAAAAAAGCTGCATTTAGAAAGTATATTTTATAAACCAACGTTCTTTTTTAGGCTATATGTCAGCTTTTAAACCCATGTCCTCTGAATGCACTAGGTGTGCCCTATTTATTTCTGCACCCCCAGAGAAAAGTCCAGTGCCTGGAACATAATAGACACCCCATAAATGTTTGTTGAGCAAAGGGGTGAGTGAATGAATAATCTTTTTTTTTTTTTAAAGATTTTATTTATTTATTTGACAGAGAGAGACCCAGCGAGAGAGGGAACACAAGCAGGGGGAGTGGGAGAGGGAGAAGCAGGCTTCCCGCCGAGCAGGGAGCCCGATGCGGGGCTCGATGCGGGGCTCGATCCCAGGACCCTGGGACCATGACCTGAGCCAAAGGCAGACGCTTAATGACTGAGCCACCCAGGCGCCCCAGTGAATGAATAATCTTTTAAAAAGCCACAAGACTCCTTGATGATGAAGTTTCTCTAAACCTAGCTTAGTGACTAATGGTTGTACTCTGTGTGTGTGGTTGTACAAGAGAGAACATCCGTATAAATGCACGAGAGTGTGCCTAAGTAAGAGGGGGTGTGCATGCGAGGAGTAAACGAGCCTTTGCCAGGTGTCTACACACGACTGTGTGAGTGAATAGAAGCGTATGTGTGAGCATGTAGGCACTAAAGTGGGGTGGCGGTAGGAGGGCCTGGCAGGAGATGCTCCCGCCAAGATAGCCCCAGCCTTTCGGGGGCTTGCACATGCAATGAACGCACTGCACTGAGTGTATCATGAATGGCGTGGGTCTGCAAGTGTGGGGGCGGGAAGTGGGGTAAGTTTGTGAGCGGTTCCCATGAAGCCGAAGCTCGAGAGAGCCCTGTCTCTTAGATGGCTGCCCTTCCTCCTGCGCACTCCCCAGGACTGGACGCTTAGGTGATTCAGTCCCATCTTCATTTCTGCTGCCGCCTCCTCCCAGGGCCCCCATGAAGCTCCTGGCTTTCCTGAGCCTGCTGGGTCTGGTGCTGCTGGGGGCAGGGACAGCTTCTCTCCCCAAGGAGAGGAAGAGGAGAGATCAGACGCTCGGGGAAGGCGATGCTTATGCAGTCCTGGACAACTATGACCTGGGCCTGGACAACTACGACGAGGTCATTGACCTGAGCGACTATGAGGGGCTCACGGACTATGGGGACCAGCTCCCCGAGGTAAGGGGCACACAGCAGACCAGCGGCATTACCTGCAAGACACTGGGCGTCGGGGGCCTGGCCCCTCTCCTGCTGTCCACCGTGCAGGCCTTCCAAGCCTCCGTTCTTTCTCCAGGAGGAGGAGATGCTTGTGCTTCCGTAGAAACTTGTCACTTAGATGATACTAAGAAAGAGGACAACAAAAGTTCAATTTCTTAGCTGGTTTGTAGTAAACTTGATGGGATCCTCCCCTGCTTAGAAGTCCTATATCTGTCCCCCTGCCTTTAAGTCAGACCATAAACCATATCTCACTGGGAGGGGCGGGGGTCAGCCATGTCTTCATGCTTTCACTAGAAAAAGAAGCCCCACAACCCCGTCTGCTCTTAGGCTGTCTTCTAGTCTGAAGTCCTTTCTTGGCCCTTCCTGGCCTTTGCAGGGGCTGATCCAAAGCCTGCACCCATTAGCTGTGTGAGCGTGGTCAGTGCCCCTCCCTGGGCCCATTTCCTTCTCCATATAAGGAAGATGCTGCTCTTTAGGAAGTTCCCTTCCTCCCTCCCCTTTTCTCCATGGTGACTCTTCGCAAGTTTGAAACTGGTCACTGAGGCCCCCAGAGTTCAAAATAAAGTCCTTCTCAGGCAAAAACTCGCCTACTGTGTGCTGTGTGCTCTGTCTCCAGGTCAAAGTGACCAGCCTGGTTCCTCCAACCAGGATCGGTTCCACTCAGAGCACAGTGACTCCGAGGAAACTCTCTTCAAAGCCCAAGATGAGCCGGCCTACGATGCTGGGCCTCCTGGACTCGCCAAGCAGCCACAGTGAGTTCACGGTAACAGGTCCCGATGCACATGGGTCATAGGCCATGCAGCCATGACCCGGCACTAGGCCTACCATGGTGAAGTGTTCAGGGTAGGGAGTGAAAGGTTGGGGCTAGCCCTCACTGTAAGGGAGAGGAGGAGAAATAGCCACAGGAAGAACAGAAAGAAAAAAAGAAAGAAAGAAAACCCAAAGGGGGAAGCTGGCTATCCCTAATGCTTTTGGCTAAATGCACAAATTGGATAGGAGGGAGAAAAAAACAAAAGAAAAAGTCAGCACTCTGCTATGCTTAGCAGAGCCACCCTACCTTAATTAACAGCATCACTAGGGGACCAGTTTGAGTGGTAATCAGATTAGAGACAATTAAAAGCCTGTTGAGAAGAATAAATAACTTCGCAGCTGTCACTGGGCATGGGGGCAAATGAGGCAGTCATACTGCTTTTCGGCTCTAAATTCCCCCCTTAGCAGCTCTTTTCCCCTCCCTGATGCCCTCCTGGAGACGGGGATGCTGGCATATCCAGCAGGGAAGGGTTGGCGCTCTGCTGGGCATCAGGACTGGAGCAGAGGAGGCATGCGGTTAATTCCTGACTTGCTTGGCCCTGGCTCCTGTTCTCTTGAGACATTTGCCTTGGGTGGATCTAGGGTATTGGGGCATCAATAGGAATCTGTGACCTCTCAGAGCTACAGGATCTCGGGCTTAAAGAGACCATAAAAGGCCTCAGCTGCATGTGTCATTCCAGGCCTTGGGCTAAGAAGGACGCTGAGATCATCTCTGCTCCACCTACCTTGGTCACTGCCTGCAAAGAAGAGCTGCCTCTTCACTGTGGGGCTGTGTCACTGCTAGCCGACCTCCCCCTTGAGTTGGACGACTGCTGGTCTCCCATTATCTCTGTCCCTTGTAATGGCGAGTGATGGAAACCGCCTGCACTCTTCAGGCCTATGAGCCCGTAGAGGCTCCCAACTTTTTAAAGCCAGTTTGGGTTGGATGGCCTGACCCATGTCTGATGACCACTGGTCATGGAATGAGAACAGGAGAGAGCTGTTGCCCAACAGAAAACTGGGATGCTGACCCCCTAAGAAGGGGAAATGGATTCTGGGCAAGCAGGGTCCACTCCACCGTGGCTTTCTTGCACTTCTCAGAGCCATACAGAACACGCTCCTCACCCACAAGGCAGCTGGCAGGGCGAGCAACCATTGGCCAGTCCACTTAATTCTGGCTTTATTTCATCGTCATTGTGCCTTTTGGGACCAGAGAGGAGCCTTATAGAAAAGAGACCGATGGATGTCCTAGAAACACCCACCTAGGCCCAGAAAAACCTACAGAGGACTGGAGCCTGATAAAAGCACCAGGGGGCCGGGACTGGGTAATAACTGGGAATGGATCTGCCTCTCTTAGGTTGGGGGCTGAGTGCCAGGCTGGGAGCAGCCAACACTGTGACCTTCCGTTCGGGCCATGGCTCAGCCACTCCCTGAGTGAGCACCATTGGTCCCAGAGGCTAAAGGAGGTCTGAGAAGGGTCTCCCTTTGTTCTATCTTCCACCTGGGCCAGGCCTGCCCACATGTCTGGTCTGCGTGTGCCTCGGTTCCTCCGTGTACTGTGACGATACTGACCTGGAGAACATCCCTCCTCTTCCCAAGACAACCACTTACCTGTACGCCCGCTTCAACCGCATCCGCCGGATCCGCGCCGGAGACTTCCAAGGGCTGAGTATGTGGTGCCCTGGCCGAAGACGAGGGCAGGCCTGGCAGAGGGAACCCCCAGGCCCTCTGCCTTGCCCCCCCCGCAGCCACATGAACAGTCACAGACACGGTGTCCCACCTGAGTTAGCCTTTCCCTGCTAGCTTTCAGTCTCCCCAGTACCAAATGGAAATAGCCCCAGGTCTCTCTAATCCCTTCCCTTGAAGATTTTGGGTAATAAAAGTGCCCCGTTTCATGTGTTCTCCCCAAAGCTCTGGAAAGCTGGGAAGGGGAAGACAGGATCAAGGCTACATTTTCGGGATTCTGAGGCACTGTAGCTCTGCACCCTCCTGGCCTCTGGACAAGGCCGGGCTAAATCAGCTCCATAGCCCTGATGCTGTTTACCTGTTTGCTGTTTGTTGTGTGTTTTGCTCCCTTATGCCTTATACTCTGCCTCAGCTAGGAGACCTGGGCTCTCATCCAGACTCTGCCACTAATTCCCACAGCCTTCTGGGCCACAGCATCCTTTTATGTAAACCAGCGGTGAAGGGTGGGGGTGGAATGCGTCCAGGCATCGGTGGGCCTGTTGGGTCTTGCCTCTACCAAACCCATCCAAGGTGGGCAGCCACCACAGAGGATAGAACTCCAGGTATTGGAGTTCTGTATTGCAGAATCTGAGGGCTTTCCAGGGGGTCCTGGTTTATGATGTTATTCTCCCAGCTGGGACCCCATGCAGGTGGAGAACTGGCTGGCCTTCCCCATCTTAAAAGGGATGGAGCAGGGTACAGGTGGGTCCAGCAGGGGCAAGGAAAGATGACAGGTCCTGTGTCTCTCTGTGTTCTCCCCCATGCCCCATAGCAAAACTGAAGAGGATTGACCTTTCCAGCAATGCCATCTTCTCCATTGATGATGATGCTCTCCGGCTGCTGCCTGCCCTGCAGGATCTGATCCTCCCAGAGAACCAACTGGCATCTCTGCCCGTGCTGCCTGCCAGCATCGAGGTCCTGGACGTCCGCCTGAACCGGCTCCGGAGCTCGGGGATACAGCCTGAAGCACTCAGGGTGAGCCAGGCATGTAGCCCACCCTCTCCCACCTGCTACCCGTGCCCACAGCCACACACACACGTGCGCGCGCGCGCACACACACACACACACACACACACACCAGGCCCTCCTGGGATAGCCCAGCTCCAACCCTATTCTGGGTCTGAAAATCAAACCCCATTTTCTTCATCTGTTCCCATTGTTTTATTAAACTTTTTGGTTGTTGTTGTTGCAAGAGACCAATTCTGACTCGAGAAAGAGTGTTTAACAACATGCCAGCCCAAGAACCTCCAGGAGAAGGAAATTCAGGCCTGTTATTGGAAATGGGGGGTTGGGGGGTATCAGAAGCCAAGGTCAGCAGCTCTCCCTCTCCCTCTACCGGGCACGCAATCTCTTGGCTTCTCTCCGTGCGTCCATTCCGTTCACCTGTCTGCACCCTCAGCTTCTGCTCCCCGAAAACATTGGCTTGCACGTGACTTGCAATAGTGCTGACTCCAAGACTAACTCTACAGAAACCTTTATTTCCAAAACCCAGCACTAACTAATCATTGTCTTTCTGTGAGCAAGTGCTTAAGGGAGACAATCTGACTGATCGCTGGCTGGCCGGTTCTGATGGGAAGGGCTAAACACCGGGCACAAATCGGGCCCCAGCAGCTGCCCACTCGACAGGGCTCGGATGAACTCCAGGAGTAGTTCCGGTGCGGAGATGACGAGCAGCATGGTCACGACTGCCCCCAGCTCCGTCACACTTGCAGACTTAGTTTGCCTTGTGTGCCTGTGGCTCTCATTCGGTGGCTCTGGATGTGTCCTGAACATGTTCTTCACAGCCATCCTGGGTTTAACATTTGGAGACTTTTCATTTGGAAAAATCCCTTTCTGATAGCAGAAAGGCTGAGGCTGGACTGAACTGTCCCCTTGTCCTCCCTTTCACGCCATCCCTGCCCCTTGCCCGCCCCTCACCTGCTGCTCATTGCAGCTGACCAACTCCTTCACGCCCCCCCAGCTGCCAGACCTCAGTGGCAGGCGCGATCCTTCTGCATCCGGTGGGAGTTAGGGCCTGTGAACTCCCGAGAGACTGGGTGTCCCCTGCAGCCCCCAGTGCCGAGCCTGGCACGTGGCTGAGGCTCAAGAGACCCTCAGGGAACGAATGGGGACACATCAGGCGCCCATCCCTGCCGGGTCCAGCAGCACCTGCCAGCCTCCCATGCCCTTTGCCTCCTCCCTAGGCGCTAGAGAAGCTGCAGTTCCTCTACCTGGCTGACAACCTTCTGGACTCCATCCCTGGGCCTCTGCCCCCGAGCCTGCGCTCACTGCACTTGCAGGTGAGCAGCACCCCCCCAAGAGCAAGAGCATTGAATACAGCCCAGGGGGTGGAGGTCAGATAACCGGGAGCCTCCTTAGGCAGCAGGGGCAGGCGTCTCCTTCACTGAGAGCTCACCGGAGACAGGGATCGGAGGTCTTGCCCAGGCCACTGTCCACAGCCTCGGCGTGACGGCCTTCCTTTCCTTCTCCTGAAAGTGCTTCCTGTCCTTCCATGTCCTTCCTCCCATCTCAGCTGACTGCTTGTTCCTCCCCTGCCTTCCCCTCCGCTCTGTCTCCTCCTCCTCCCTCATCCCTCTTACTCTCTCCCCTGGCTCTCCATCCATCCTCCACGCGCCGCCTCTCCTCCCTCCTTGCTGCATGGCCTTGGCCTTACGTGCCTCGGTTTCTCCACTCTCAAGAGGGGAGGTGCTGGGGAGAGCTGACGGATGCGCCTTCGGCGCTGCCTGGGGGCACTCTCCAGGCAGAGGTTGGCAGCTGTCAGTGTGTTCTTTCCAGAATAACATGATAGAGACCATGCAGAGCGACGCCTTCTGCGACTCCGAGGAGCACAAACACAGCCGGAGGCGGCTGGAAGACATCCGCCTGGACGGCAATCCCATCAACCTGGGCCTCTTCCCCAGTGCCTACTTCTGCCTGCCGCGGCTCCCCACCGGCCGCTGCTGCTAGTTCACTGGCCGCGCTGGGGAGGCCCTCACCGCCTTCCGCTGGCGCCCGGCGCCTCCGCACGATGGGCTTTCGCTCGGGCCGGAATCGGCCTCCGGATCCAGTTGCAAAACTCACCCCCACTCCCTTCCGCCACCTTCTACACGCTCGTGCACACACACACACACACACACGCATGCACACACGCACGCACACGTACACACAGATACACAGAGACACATACATGCGCGCACACACACACGTGCGTGCGTTAATGTCCTTCAGTAGCCAAATTTGCATTTCTCATCCTCTTTCCTTAACAACTTATGGCTCCTGACTCAGAAGAGCAGCGTCTACAGCAAAGCTCATTGCCGTATTCCCCATCCCCCCTACCCACACGGAATGCCGGGAAGTCATGGAAGAGGAAGAGGAGAAAGAGAAGGAGGAATCGGGAGAAGCAGTGGCGGGCTTCAGCCAGCTCTTACTACTAGGCTTGCTTGCAGAACCAATTATTACATTTTCCAGAATTTTGTAAGCCAGTCGTTAAACACAGCTTTTATTAAAGATTAAAGTATAAGCTCACATTTAAATATATTAGGTTGAAAATAAATGTAATGAATACTCAAACTCATTCCTTTCCCATTGTTTTACTAGTAACCATGTTCTTGAACTTATTTATGTCTATGACATACTATATAATGACATACCCCTCGTGCTCATCTCTTCCCAGCGACACTCAGTGACATCACATTGGTAGTTTGAAATTGGCCGTGGTGAGAATATTTACACCCCAGAAATCAGTAAATGCTACATGCCTGGATCCTTTGAGAGAGAAAGCTGGTGGTTAAGCATTTGCCAGCACACCACTGAGGAGAAAGAAGAGCTATTTCACCACTAGGGGTAGGGTGGGGTTTCTATGGGACTTTCTTTATTTTCTTGCTCTTCCTAGGCCAAGCGCTGCCTGTCAGATCTAGAGGGAGCCGTTCATAAGGATGGAGACTGACAGGAATCTTCACTTGGATGCCCTCTTTGCAGTGCTCCCCTGTTCCTGGCTTACTGGACAGCCTCTGAGCGTGGCTCCACCAGAGCCAGCGGGTTTCCATCCTTGCCGTGCCCTCTTCCATGGTTAACCACCAGAGGGCAGCCTTGTGAAGAGAAATAAATAAATATAGCGATTTCTCACCTGCAACGTTGGCTTCTGGGCGAGGTCTGCTGTGATGGGAGATGGGAAGAAGGCCAACTATGATCTAGTTGACTTGTTCCTTGAATTATAAAGAGAGGAGCGATGTCACCCTTCTCCTTATAAGGAGATGTTGGGCAAGAAGGACCTAATAGATGGGTGCTTGGCATCGGGGGTTGACTGAAGCATAGAAGAGGGTTGAGGCAGGCAATTTTATTGAGCACCTACCTGCCATGTGCTGGGCACCGTGTCCCATGCTGGTGATGAGATGACGTGTAACAGACATATTCCTTTTCCTCGTTGAGCTTAGAGTCTGGCACAGAAAACACATGGGCAACAGTCACACAACCACACTATACAACTCATGACTCCGACGGTAAGAGGAATCCACCGAGTGCTACGGGAGCTTACGGGGGAGACCCAGTCTAGGAGGCCAGCAGACCTGGAAGAAACAACATCTAAGCTGAAACCTGAGGGAGAAGTAGGAGTTAGCCAGGCATTCCGTTGTCAAGGCAATCACTCAAGGTGCGGGGCGTGGGGGGGTCCCCAAGTCTGGCTGGGCCCACATGACAGCCATTGCACTCATCTGCGTCCCCTGCATGTCTAGCACCCCTCCAAGTACTTTGGATCCTCAGGACAGTCCTGTAAGCAGACAAGACAGGGATTCTTAGTCACATTCTTGAGATGAAGAAATCAAGAACTCCAGAAGATAAAAGCGCTTACTGGAGCTCACGTGGCTAGCTGAGGCTTGGACGGAGACACAACACACAGGCTGCAAACGGAGTGGGAAGTCTTAAAGGTGAGAGGTGCCCTCGTGGTTCCTGCGCTGCCTGCCCCCTCTCTCCTAGAGACCCAGGGATGCCGGCACTGGGACCGGGAAAACTGTGAGCCAATAGCTCCCTGTCTTTCCGAGCAGTAGAGAGCAGTAGAATTTCAGAACGGTGAAGTTCTGCCCCTTCCTCTTCCTGTCTTCCAAGGAGCTCGTTACAGTAGGAGGGCTCTCCAGCTCTCTGCCTCTCCCTGTCTCTCTCTCTCATCCACCAGTCCTATCTTCTTCCATGTCCGGCTTTATTGGATTACGACAAGGCCTAGGCATGCAGCAGCTGAAAGCCTCAAGATCCCCAACTGCAAGAAACCATGGCTTAAAAAAAAAAAAAAGAGAGAATTTTCCAGAACTGGGGTTCCTGGGGGCTAGAAACCACATCATACGCACATGCCCCTAGGTTAATCTGTGCTGAGTACAGAAAATCATCTGACCCCCTCTCTAGGGCAGAGAAGGGTGCCAGTAATTCCTGGACTCCTGGAATTTGCCAGATACCATAATAGAAGCTATTATGCACATCAACTCATCCAATCCCAACAACAACCCTAGAAAGTAGGGATGTTTATCCCACGCTGGAAGTGAGGGAACAGGCGTACAGAAGGGCCAGGGCCCGAGGAACACAGCAGTAAGCGGCAGAGCCTGGATTCAAAACAGGGGCCCTCCCGGCACGGGGTCCCAAGTCCTGCTGTCATGCCTCAGGGCCGCATGGACGCCCCTTTCAAGGCCAGTGGAGGGAGGCAGCTCCTGACCGTTGCTTTCCTGAGGCTAGGACAGGATCTCCCGGGGGACCGGCTGCCTGTGCAGCTGTCTTCCTCACTCATCTCCCGTTTGGGGCTCGGGAAGCCCAAGGAATAGAATGAATGTCCTTGTTGGCTGCCTTGCCGAAGAAATTCTAAACAGCGCACCTGTCCCCAGGCCCCTCCGGAATCCAGAGAGGGGCTGGGCGGGGCGAGAAATCCGAGGCAGCTCCCAGCAGCTATTCCAGCCTGAAGGAAGGAGCCGGGGCTCTGACTTCTCGGGGGCCTAAAGCGGTTAGGGTCAGGCTCCCGGCCGGGGAGCAGAGAGCACCTCTTATCCAGCGCGAGGCCCTCCTGTCCTGCCGAATGGCCAACACTGAGGGTGGGTGGATGGCAGTCAGAGGAGGAGACCACGGCGGGGAGAGAGGGGCAGTCAGGCACGAGGGCGGCCTCACCGCCAGGGAACAGTCCGAGGCTGGCTCAAAATCCACCCCTTCCAAGAGCAGGACTCTCCAAGCCTCCCTCATCTGGGTCGTCAGTGGCCATCAGCACCTGTGCTCAACCTTGGCCATCTTGATGACGGCCCTGGCTCTTGGGTGGCTCCCGAGGGGGCCGTCCTGCCAGCCCTGTAGGAGGAAGCACCTCTCCCCTCTTCAGCACCCCATGGCCTTGGGACCTCTGCCTGGCCCTGTTCTGTGAGGCTCGGAGGAGGAGGGAGGGGACACCAGCAGCGGGAGTTTGCAAAGACTGCCCCCCACCTGCTCGTCCTCAGCTCCGCAGCAAGGCCAGGGCCAGAGGGGACGGGTGGGGAATGGAGGGTGCCAGGGAGTGACCCCACCTAGACTTTTCTTCCTCCTGCCTTTCCCCTTAGACTCCTCCCTGAGGAATAATCTCTTATGTTTGTGCTGCGAATTTGCACTCTACAGAGCTCTTTTACATCCGGGATTTAATGTATAGTCCCACCAACTCTGTGAGGAAGGTGTTATTACCCCTACTTTCCAGATAGACTATGGGAGCCTGAGTGATTTGTTCAAGAGCGAGATGACTTAATATATAGGAAAACAAGACTGGGGGCACCTGGTTGGCTCAGTCGGAAGAGCATGAGGCTCTTGATCTCTGGTTGTGAGTTCGAGCCCCACGTGGGGTATAGAGATTACTTAAATAAGCCGTCATTTCTTGGGAACTCCTGCAAGAGAAATGAGAAATCTCATCCCCAGCTGCTGGAGCAAAGGATGAGCCCCCTCCCTCCCCAGCCCCTGAGAGCTCTTTGACCAGCAAGGAGTGAGGAGAGCATCTTCCGGGCTGAAAAAATGGGAGCTGCCCGCAGACCTGAGTCCTGAGCCTGCCTCAAGGCCGTCAGGGCCCCGAATCCTGATGGAGCACACGAGGTAATGGGGTGGTTGTGGCTTCGGACGATCTGAGCTCAGGAAAGCCCTAGGGCTCAAGGACACACTGCCCCCCATCTCTGCCCCCACCCCACAGGCACGTGGGTGGCCCAGCACCCACATGCCAGTGTCTGCGTCCTTGTTGCTAGGGCCCCAAGGAGGGAGGCAGACAGACGGAGGTGGACAGGGCTCTGCCCCGCCCCCTCCACCGTCTGGAGCGTTCTCCTCTCCTTCCTCCGCCCGCCTCTCCCCTCCCCCCACGCTACACACCAGCTCGGTTTTGCCCCTCCTCTCTCTCAAGGTTGTCTCTGGGGCGGCCAGCTTCACCTTCTCCAGCTTCCACCATCTCTTCTCACACATCTCCTTTCTGTAGCTGCTGCTGGCCTGAACCAGGGTCTCCTTATGGAGACAGCATGTGGCTTTCCCCCCACCCTTCCCATGTCTCCCTTCTCCTCCAGGGGTGACAAAGCAGCCGAGGGACCACCTTCTTCCTTCTTCACTGCAATAAACTCTCCAAACTCAGGCCTCCTTCTCTTTAGACCACCCTGTGCGTCCCTCCCAGGCGTGGCCAAGCCTGTGGCCCTGGGCATGCCTGAGCACCCCCTCCCGAGCACACCCCTCCCCGAGCATGCACCCAGAACACACTGCCCTTTCTTCTGCCCCTTTCCCCCCTCCACCCCCCCGAAAGTTTTCTGTCTCCTTGCCCTTTGTCCCCTTCTGTGCCCTGGGCACCAGAGCAAACAGCTTCTAGCCTTTTCCTGCAGCATGGTGCCAGCCCTGTCTTCCAGAATCCTTGTCTTTAGTGTATGTCCAACACACGGTTCATACACAGGAGGGGGTGCAGTGTTTCCTGCTGTGGCCACCTGCAAAGGGACTGCGGTGCAAGGGAGCGAGCACTA